AAAAAAAAATCAACTTCCTGGATATATCCTCAGGTCAGTACACATTCTCTTTAGCCCTCTTATACCCACCCTATTTCCATCCACACTCCTGAACAAGGAGAGCTAGTGGCAAAATAATGAACCCTGGAGTATTGCAAACACCTGGATGATCAGATAAACGAGGGTCTTAATGTTGCACTTTCAAAGCCAACAGAAGTGAACTGTGCTTGCTTCTCAGTGAAAATGTTTTTTTTTTTTTTCCTTTTTGTCTTTTTTTGTGTCTGGCAATGGGATCGCAACCCTCGGCGTTGCGCCCGCACCTCGTTCAGCCAGTGAGCGGAACCGGTCTGTATGTGGGATCCGAACCCNGGGCCGGCCCTCAGTGAAAATGTTTGAAACAAAAAGAGCATTGTGCTTCTGCCTCAATTAACCAGAGAGTCTAGTTAACCAGACCTTCCCATTCTACACTGTGTTATTGGGCGACCGATCTCCCAAGGAGCAAGTGTTACCCATCCACCTTTTTTTGGTTCTCTCACTCTAGAATGACGTGGCCCAAAAGGTTGCCCAGTCTGTGACAAGCCTGCATGGCACCAAGTACAAAGTGGGACCAATTTGCTCAGTCATCTGTAAGTATCTAATGCACCGGAAATTTTTATAAATGACCCACTAAGATGGCAGGCACCATGTGAATTTGGGCCAAAGTTTTTAAATGACTTGATGTGAAAAAGATAGGCCTTCATTCATGGAACCCAACCTTACCCAATTTCCCTCAGTAAATCTAGTCTCCTCCATGAGATGCTTACTATGTAATATGTAGAAAAAAGAACTTCCGAAATATATGACTTTTGTGCTCTCTCCTATCCTTGTACGGATCCTTACAGCTCACTCTCATCNTGTAGACAAGGAGGAAGGCAGTATCAGGAGGAAGTCTGGGGAGCCTGAGGTAGAGACTCCCCTCTACCTCAGTGGATTGGGATAAAAACAAGAAACTACTGCAGTGCTGTGGGAAATCCCAGTGCACCCTTGTGCAAATTCTTAGACCCTCAAAGGCACAGTCTCTTCTTTATGGATACAGCCAGAAACTCAGGACCTGTCTCCAGACCATGATGGCAAATTGAGACTGAGGAATGCATACCTCTGTGTGTCTGGCAGCC